TGGCACTCCAGTCTGGGCGACGGAGTGAGACTCCAACTAAAAAAAAAAAAAAAAAAAAAAAAGGGTAGATATGACTAAGAATGCCACACATACAATTGGGATAAAAGGAGCAGATGTAAATATCCTGTGGTTGAGGGTCAAACACAGATGAAAAGTTGAGCTCCTCAAAAATCTGTTTGGCATTCACTTGTATGTCAGAGGTCCTAAGAGCAGGTCTGACAAAGGAAAGGATTAGACAGTAAATCTCCCTGTTCAAAAGACTAACAAGCATACTAGTATTTCAGAATGACCTTCTGTGACTTGCCGCACTCCAAACTCTGCCAATCTAAGCCCTAAACTCACTGAACCAAATTTCTGGCCGCTGTCTGTGTCAGGTGGAAAAGGCTAGTGTAAACCAATGCGTAATTTGACCAAGGAGTGGCTTAACTGAAAAAATTGTGTGTATTGCACTATACATGCATGCTCAGTGGATACCATCTTGCCTCAATCAACTGGAAAATTTAGGAATGGAGAACTTTATTCCCTTTATATTTGTTTTTGTCTATAAATCTTAAGACACTTGTATCTAATAATGAACTCTGGGGGCAGCAGAGGCACTCTGCACATAAATATTTAAAATGCCCAGTAATCCAAAATACAAATTTTTTTTTTGAGTTGGAGTCTCATTCTGTCACCCAGGCTGGAGTGCAGTGGCATCTCCCGGCCACCGCAGCGACTGGGCTCAGGAGATCCTCCTCAGCCTTCCAAGTACCTAGAACTACAGGTGCGTGCTACCACGTCACGTCTGCCTTATTTTTTTGTATTTTTTATAGAGACGAGGTCTCACCAAGTTGCCTAGGCTAGTCTCAAACCTCTGAGCTCAGGCAATCCTCTCGCCTTGGCTTCCCAAAGTGCTGTGATTATAAGCTTGAACCACTGCACCCAGCCCAAAATACAATCTTATCAGAAATTTTATTTTCCAAGTATCTTACCAGAGTCACTGATATACTTTCTTTTACAAAACTTAAGAGTTGGGTGCTTCAACTGCTACTCTTTTTTCTAAGATTCTATAAAGATTTCCCTTGCCTTTGGCCTCAGTTTAACTCTATGGCCTTTAAGATATAAAAACAAGATGACTATTTCTAAATGTGCCTCTCTCTGGTCATTTTCAAAACTAGAGTTACATTTTTATTTTTACTCAATAGTTAGAAAACAGAAAGTAAAAAGAGCCATCAAATACAGCATGTTGTGTCTGTATGTCAATCTTATGTGACAAGAGAAATTGAACTACCAATTTTTTTTTTTTTAATTGTTGGGTCTCACTCTGTCGCTCAGGCTGGAGTGTAGTGCTACCATGGCCTGCAAGTCCTAGGCACAAGCAATCCTCCCGCCTTGGTCTCCCAAAGTGCTGGAATTATGGATATGAGCCACTGCACACGGCCTGAACCATCACTTTGAAATGCTATGACATGGAAATAGTTTGAGATGTCATTATAAATTTTTTTTTTTTTTTTTTTTTT